CTGCATATTTCTTTTTGCCAGAAAAAAAAAAAAGTCAACAGCCCCCAAACCCATATTTCTGTTCTAAATTAATGTCCATACTGCAGATCTGATAACTGAGTACATGAGATTATATTGCACACCCCTCTTTGCTATAGATTTTAAGCCAGAATGCTCCCAATAAATGTGCTTGTCTAAAACTTAAATCTGTCTCAGATTATGGATAGTTTCTGTGATAAATGTGTTGAATGAGAATTATCTCCTTTAAAATTAATTACTCCTATCTCTGTGTTTTATGTGTGTACTCTTATCAGAAAATTGTACTTTTCACATTGCTCGGTCATTATTTGTTGACTTTTAGCACCCACTGAATATACCTACATGTATACTTGCTCATCAAAAATAAAGGCTCTGTGTTATTTGTCTAAGTAAACTCAGTCCAAAGTTCATATTTGATAAGCATTCTTTTTAGTATAACTGATTTAGTCCCCTTAAACTTTAATAAAACCTTGAGATCAATCTTTCTTAAGTAATATTTCTCAGAATATTCTGAGTTACCCCTTCTATCATTATTACTATTGCCAATAATTAGAATGAAAATAGATGACATTTATTAGGCACTTATTATATATCAGACCTGCAAGGCAAATTATATGCAGTTGGTACTCATAATAATCCTATGAAATGGGTAACAATTTTATCTTATTTTACAGGTTAGGTGACTTAGACATAAAGAGGTTAAGTAATTTGCCCAAGGACACACAGAGTGGTAAGCTTAAGATTTGAAATAGGGCAGTCTAATTCCAAAGCCATATTAATAATGGCACTGCACTGTCTCCCATCCCTTTAAAAAAGCCCACAGTCTTAGGTTTACATTTTGGATGTAATCAAATATGTTCCTACTGAACCAAACCTCCTGCAGCTAACAAATGTAAGTTCTGTGTAAAATACAAAAAGGAAGGAAGGAAGGAAGGAAGGAAGGAAGGAAGGAAGGAAGGAAGGAAGGAAGGAAGGAAGGAAGGAAGGAAGGAAGGAAGGAGAGAGGGAGGGAGGGAGGGAGGGAGGGAAGGAGGGGAGAGGAGAGGACAAAAAGAAAAGAAGAGGGGCGGACCCTGAAGTTTCTGGAAAGTAAACAAAATCCTGAAAAATCCTGAGAGAATCTACACTTGGGAGAAGAGATCTTCATTTTTACAACTTCCAGCAAAGAACAGACTAAAATCAAGAGGCAGCTACGTAACTCCAATAGAAAACCTCTAGTCTCTCTGGTCTAAAGAACAAAAGGATAAAAAGTTCAGGGCAACTACAGATGCTGGAAAGTAAAGGGCAAAACCCCATAAAGGAGAGAGACTGAGAGCGGGCAGCCCAAATTCTCTACATAAACTCTGCTCAAGCCCCTGGCTGATCCTTGAGCCATGAATGCGTAGGGAAGACTGAAAGCAGCCCGGCCAAAGGTAAAACAGCTGAACTGAGATTGGAGCTGCTGCCCAAGAGATAGGAATTACACTTTGATTCCAACCAAGTTAATTACCAGCTAAAACAAAACAAACCTCAACACTCTTTGGAGGAATATAACAGAATTCAGAGCCTCTACAGAATTAGATTCACAATAATGAGGTAAATTCAAAATTACTCAACATATAAAGGACCAAAAAAATATTACTTGGTATTAGGGAAGAGGGGGGACAAAGGAAAGTAACATCTGAGAGGACCCAGATGTTTGAATTAGCAGACAATGATTTGAAAGTAACCATTATAATTACACTAAGCCAAATATTAAGTGTTTTCCTTGGCCTAGAATGTTCTAGGAAAACATGCTTCCATGAATAAAAAGACAGTCAGTCTCAACAGAAATAGAAATTTTATAAAGGACCAGATGGAAATTATAAAACTGAAAAGTAGCTCATCTGAAATTTAAAAGGAACCCTTGCTGGTAGAACTTTATTCACCAGAAGAACGTGGAGAAAAAGGAACCCTCGTGCACTGCTGGTGGGAATGCAGACTGGTGCAGCCACTGTGCAAAACAGTACGGAGTTTCCTCAAAAAACTAAAAATGGAGCTCCCACTGATCCCACTTTAGGAATATATCCTATGAAACCAGAAACACCAATCAGAAAGGGTATATGCACCCCTATGTTCATAGCAGCACAATTTACACTAGCTAAGATTTGGAAACAGCCCAAGTGCCTACCAGCATATGACTGGATAAAAAAAGCTGTGGTACATGTACACAATGGAATACTATTCAGCTGTAATAAAAAAGGACTTTTACCATTTGCAACATCATGAATTGACCTGGCTTATTTCATTTATTATACTAAGGCTTAGTAACTAAGCAAAATAAACCAGTCAGAGAAAGATAAGTATCACATGATCTCATTCATATGTGGAATCTAATGAACAAAATACACTGATGAACAAAATAGATCCAGAGTCATGGAAGCATGGAACAGAGTGCAGAATCTCGGAGGGAAGGTGGGGGTATGGGTCCAGGAGGGGAGTGATTAACAGGGAAACTTCTATGTGTATATGTGTAGCCCAGGGACACATATAATACAGTGGTGAAGGCCTAGGAGGGGTGGGGTGGGTGCAGGGTAGAGGGGGTCAGTGGAGGAAAAAAAAATTTGTAATACTTTAAACAATAAAGAAATTTTTTAAAAAGAAAAGGACAAATTGGACACACAGACATGCACAGAGGGAGAATGATGTGATGATGATGGCAGAGATCGGAGTGCCACAACTATGAGCCAAGGAACATCAAAATTTGCCAGCAAAATACCAAAATCTAGGAGAGAGGCACATTACAGATTCTCCCTTGCAGTTCTCTGAAAGAGCTAACCCTGCCGAGATCTTGATCTTGTATTTCTAGTCTCAAGAACTGTGAGACAATAAATTTCTATTGTTCTAACCAACCTTTTTTTTTTTTTTTTTTTTTTTTGTACTTTGTTACAGCAGCCCTACAAAATGAATACATTGTGTGAATGAGCCACTGTAAAAGCAGATGGATCATCCAATCCCAACCAGGCTGACTGCAGCTCTGACCATTATCTTGGCTGCTGCTTCTTGGGACACCCTGAGCCAAAACCACCAGCCAAGCTGCTCCTGAATTCCCAACCCACGAAAACTGTGACATTAATGTTTGATGTTGTGACTTCTGTTGTGGACTTAATGTGTCCCCCAAATCATATGCTGAAGTCCTAAGCCCTAAGTGACTATATTTGGACATAGAGCTTTCAAGGAGGTAATTATGGTTAAATGAGGCTGTTCGATGGGGACTAGTCCAATATGAGTAGAATCATTATAAAAAGAAAAAAGAGGAAGAGATGCCACATAGTTTCTCTAGCCAGTAACACGTGGAGGCTGAGTCCTTCAGTCCTGCTAAAAGCAGTTACTACTTATGATAACAGCTAATAGTCGCTGAGTGCTTTTACAACGTGCCAGCCACCATGTTAGCCAGTTTAATGTGGATTATCTCACTTAATCCTGCTAATAGCCCCGTGAGAAAAGGATGCACACCAAGATTAAGTAAGATGGCCAAAGACATCCAGCAGGTAAACCATTAAGTGGGATTTAAACTGCTACAAATCTCTGAATCCAGAACCCTACTGCCTCTTGGGTTTCTAGCAGTTTTACTAACGATATTCCCTTGTCACTCAGCTGCCGCCATAAAGATTTCACTGGTTACCTCATCTTTCTGTTGCAATGACCTAGGTAAATACCGTTAGCTAGGTCTTCTCTGGACCAGTCTATTTACCCCTTTGGCAGTGTCATTACTCATCTGGAAAGTACTCAATAAAAGTTTACTGAATGAATGAATCCAGTTTTGAATTTTTTTTTTTTTTTTAGAAGTAAATGACTTTTTTATACCCATTGAAGAATACGAGAAATGGTCTCAGAATCATTTCACATGAGCTCACATGGAAATCATGTTGGTAGTTCAGGAAGGAGAAATCTCAGAGAAAACCGGGCGGCAGGTGGGAGGTAGGGAAGGTTATTCTGTAAGAAAAGAGGGTAAGGTGCTTGACTCAATTAGATGAATCTCTTTGGATACACACATCGAGCCAAAGGCCATAGGAACGGTAAAAAAAAAAAAAAAAAAAAAAAAAAAAAAACCCCAAGCGGGAGAGACACTCTGAAACTTGAGGAGACTCTCAGAGTGATTCTTCCAAAATTGTTATCAACATTCCACCCTCCCTCTAAAATGCTCGGCTCCTGGAGAAAGTGACACTGGAAATCATCTGCTCCCCGTTGACTTCCCAGAAAAGTGCGTGCCTATCGTTGTGTTTTTGTTTTTGCTTTTGTTTTTAAAGGACAGTATTTTACACAACAGTGGCCTGAGGGTAAAATGCACTGCCTGCGTGGCCAGAGACCAGCCAGGTGACCATCCGCGCAAAGCTGCGCGCAGCCATCTCCGGGCTGAAGGGAGTCCGGGAGCCGCCGCCTGCAATGGGCCGCCGCCGCCGCCAGGTGGTACTCACGCATCAGGAGGGGGACTTCCGGCCCCACTCCTGGGAGCCCCGCCGCAGGATCGCCAGCAATTCCCAGCCGCAAGGTCAAGAGTCGTACTCGCTTTGAATCGATTCGGGCACCGGCCCAGGGGTGCAGGCGCCCGGCCGCGCGCCCTCGCCCCCCGGCCCCGGGCCCCGGGGGCGGTGACCCCGGCGGGACCCGCCCGCTATAGGCTGCGGCGCGGGGCGGGAGGGGGCGCGGCCTGGGCCTCTGCGGAGGCCGCAGCACGTGGGGTGCGGGATCGCCAGAGGCAGTGGACTGGTCCTCGGCGGGTGGACTTTGCTAATCTTGACTCCCATCCCCGGGCCCGAGCAGAACGCAGGCTCGCAGCGCCGCCTCCAGCCCGGGAGCTTGGGAGGCGCTCGGCCAGCACTGCGCTCCGGGACCCGGACTAAGCCTGGGGGTCAAGCAGGCGTCTTTTCCATCCAGATTGAAGGGGCGGCCCTTGGCGCAGCTGTTGGGTTGTTCTAGTCTGCAGCCACTGAAGAGGGTGCTTGGTGCTTGGGACCGGAGCCATGAATTACGCACGGTTCATCACCGCGAAGAGCGCGGCCAGAAGGCCTTCTCCCATCCGCGTCTACAGTGAGTGCGGGGGCGGCGGCCCTCCCCCCCCCCCCCGGGGTGCGGGTGCAGGTGCGGGGGCTCGCAGAGCCGCGGTGGGTGGGGCCTACAGTCACCGTTAGGTTGCATTCATTCAACCGCGAAAGTTTACTGTGCGTCAGGCTCTGTGTGCAAACATGCACTGGGGTTAGATCTAAAGGCTGATAGCAGCAGCTGCGGCAGCAGAGAGAACAGGTTGTTTGCTGTGGGACTTGGCGGAGTAATAGAGACGGTGTGCTGTCTAAAAAGGCTCTTCTCGGGCCCTTAGGAGGGGTTAGACACAGTGTGCAGCCGCGTGCAGAGTGGGGAAGGCCTGGTGAATTGGAGAGAAAGGGGGTGAGCCACGAAGCTAGACAGACAGGTAGGGGCTAAATGGAGCAGGTTTCCGGTTACTGGGGTTCTTTGCTTGTCTAGATGATCCTGATCCCTCTGCCTTCTTAGTTGGACACCTCCATTCCTTAGCTCTGCCACCGGTGATGTAGGTCCAGACAGAGTTATTCCATGTCTAGATTAGCATCCTATCACTAGAAATTGTTTCACTGGACAGTGTTATTGAGTGTAATGCAACCTACTGAACTAGGAATGTTTTCCGTGAAAGTTTTTCTTCTCTTCCATGTTTATTGTAGCTGAGCTACAGAACAGAGCACCAAAATCCGTCATCTCCTTGGCTACTGGATCGCCAAATCCAAACACGTTCCCCTTTAAGACTGCTACTATCAACATAGGCAACCAGAAGGCCATCCAGTTTGATGAACAGATCATGAAAAGAGCCCTTCAGTATTCTGAAAGTGCTGGGTAACTATAAATCACACAATTCTGTTGGCTCCTTTTCATGAGCACTATTCTAAAGGCCGCTGATAAAGTGACTTGTCTCTTTTCTTAACTGGAGTGTTCAACAGTTAGGAAGGTTTGGGGAAGAGTTTTCAAAAGAATGAAAAGCAGCAGGATATTGAATGCTCCTCGGTGACTTCTCACCCTTACAAGACTGGGAGAGTCCAAAGGCTTTTGGAAGAAAGTACTACATTGACCTGACACTGAAGAGAGAGACGAGAGAGACGAGAGAGACGAGAGAGACGAGAGAGAGAGAGAGAGAGAGAGAGAGAGAGAGAGAGAGAGAGAGAGAGAGAGAGAGAGGAAGAAGGGAGGAAAAGGATGGTCCAGGAAGCAGGAAGCAGCAATTCTAAGTGCTGGGCAAGTTAGCACACATACCTTAAGATTTTCCTTAGCTGATCCTCTAATGATAATTTATAGAGTTCCTGTGATGGAAAACTATATTGTGACATAATATAGATTTTATAGAATATCCCCCAAGATGTATACACACTATAACAATCTGATAGCTCAATTTTGAAAATGAAATATGTTTTAATGAACAGTGCCTTCATAATTTTTCAAAGTGTGTGTATGCATTTTTGGGGACACCCTATATATTATATATAAATTACTCGGGGTCCCTCGGCCTGGCCTGTGCCCTCTCGCAATACCAGACCCCTCAGGGGATGTCTGATAGCCAGTTTTGGCCGGATCTCTGCAGGCCGATCCACACAGGAGAGAACCTGATCTCTGTAGGCCCGATCCCATTCCAAACAGGAGGGAGCCCTATCCTTTGTGTTGTCTGTCCCCTACTGGTCAGTGCACATCATAACGACTGGCTATTTGGTCACTTAGGCTTTTATATAGATAGATTAGAGGCCTGGTGCATGAAATTTGTGCATTGGGAGGGAGGGGTCCCTTAGCCTGTCCTGCGCCCTCACGTAGTTGAGGAGCCCTCAGGGCATGTCATAAGCTGTCAGTCAGACATCTTTAGTGCTACTGCAGAGGCCAGAGAGGCTTCCGCTATCGCCAGCTGCGAGCCTGGTTCAGGGCTTCTGACTGAGCGATGCTCCCCCTGTGAGAGCACACTGACCACTAGGGGGCAGCTCCTGCATTGAGCATCTGCCCCCTGGTGGTCAGTGTGCATCTAGTCATTCCTCATTTTGGTCGATTTGCATATTGGCCTTTTATTATATAGGATAGATATGTAATATATACATAGATCTTTCCTCCCATGATACAAAAAAAAAAAAAAAAAAAAAAAAAAATTCCTTCTAAGTAGCTTATGGAAATTGTCCTGAGTAGAACAAAGAATCAATTATTAAGTGTTTGCTTTATTGTAAAATAAAGATTATAGGTTTTTAGACTAAGAAAGATATAGATTCAAATATCAGCTGACTGACTTTGTGAATTTTTAAATCTCTACATCTGTTACCTTATCTTTGAAATAGGGAATATTAATATTGGCAAAAAGCGTTTGAGGATTTTGAAATTGAATGTATAAAGTACTTAATATATAGCTACCATTTAATTCCTCTCTACCTATATTATGACATTTACTTTTATAAATTTTAAAATACATTTTATGCTTTAGAATACCAGAGCTGTTGTCCTGGCTAAAACAGTTACAAGTAAAATTGCATAATCCTCCCACCGTCCATTATCCATCCAGTCAAGGACAAATGGATATATGTGTCACATCTGGCAGCCAAGACGGTCTTTGTAAGGTAAGTCTGAAAGGAAAGGTACCACACATTAAAAATCAAGTATTCCCATGAATACAGTCATCTCTCACTGACAAGCAAGAGGATCATGTTTTGTGAATTTCCAGTAGTCTTCTTGTCTTTACTTAGAATTATAAACAGGGAACTTAAAGACATCCACCAACCTGATTTTTCTTAACACGTAGAAGATGTGGTCAGTGACTCAGAGCTAGGAGTCATTCCAACAGGTTCCCATTAAAGAAGGTCTCAACTCCTCCCAAAAGCATTAGTAATCATCGTTTCATTTTACCTGGCTCAAAGATTTTGGGTTACATTTTGTTCTCTGTTACTTTAGTTTATGAGATTTCAATATAATATTTAAGTTCTTTAGAGGGCATATCCTGATACTCCTCAGGTGAAATTTGATGTCTTTAAATGTCCACTTACATAAATTATCTGTGCTCACACTGCTTGTACCTTGTCTTCCTCCTGGCTGTGCTTCTCTAGGTCTATAGGGTGTCCCCTCAAAAAATGTAAGCACACAATTTGAATAATTATAAAGACAGTGTTTATCACCTGGCCAGCATGGCTCAGTGGTCCAGCATTGTCCTATGAACCGAAGGTCACAGTTCAATTCCCAGTCAAGGCACATGCTTGGGTTGTAGGCTCAATCCCCAGTTTGGGGCATGCAAGAGGCAACAGATCAAATGATTCTCTCTTATCCTTGATGTTTCTCCCTCTCCCTTTCTCTCTGAAAATCAATTTAAAAAGTTATATTTCTTTCTTTAAAAAGAGATGTAGGTTGTTAACATAATAGAAAGGAGAGGCTTGAACTGGGGATTGTGAACAATACAAGGCAAGAAAGGATTGTTCTGTGGTTTATATAAGAGTTAGTCATAATAGACCCCTTTGATTAGGCTGGAAAGATCTATTGTCTGACTCTATTGATATCAGTATGCATCATGCTGACTGCAAAATCTCCTAAGATTTCTCAACCCTTGTCTTTCTTGACCTCTAAACATCCTTGAACACTGTTGACCTCCCCATTTTTTTGAGCCGCTTCCTCCTCTAGAGCTCTCAGCACTGCATGGAACAGCTCTCTGCCGGCCCACCTGCCTGCCTTCTGGGCAGTGGCCTCTACACAGCCATTATTTATCGGAGTTCCTCAAGGCTCGGGCCTGGGACCTCTGCTCCCCTTCATCTGTTCACCTTCTCTTGGTACTTCCATTCACACCCATGTGATCAATCATATGCTAATAACTTCCAAGCTCCTTGCAAGTCCATTTGTGTATCTGTCCACCTGACATCACAAAGTGTTTTTGAAGACACCTCAAACCAAAACACACTCCTCAGACATGGACAACTCTTTGGGTCTGCTTTTCAGTGAATGGCACCACTCCCACCATCTATCTAGTTCCATTGCCAAAGATCTAGGAGTCATTCTGGACACCTCCTCTTCCTTGTGTCCCTGTAGTCCATAATTATGTTCTGTTGGTTTTGACTTCCAAAATACCTCCCAGGTCTCCTCTCCAAACCTACTGGCGTTACCCTAGTTCAGACTACCCTTATCTGTCCCAAATAATCACAAAACCTTCCCAGATTCTCTACATGTATTACATTTCTATTTAATCTTGTTATTATAGCCAGAATGATCTCAAAAAGCAGATCTGACCATGTGATTTCCCCTTTCCACACTCTACTTAAAATTCTTACTGGCCTCACTTGGCGTAGTGCCTGCATGTATGGTTTCTGCCCACTTTTGTCTCATCTCATTCCACTCTCCTCTTTACACTCTGCTTCAGTTTCTCAAAAAGTACCTATTGTCACCCCTACCCCAACTCATCCCTTCTTCAGGGAAACCCTCTCTGAATGCCCTGAGCTTCCTCAATGCCCAAGTCCTCCTACAATGAGCGCTTATAACATCGCACACCTGAACTTAATAGCATTCATCACTTTTAAATATACATTTTTGAGTCGTTATTTAATTAGTGTCTAGCTTTCCTGGACTAGTACCTCTATGATGGTAAAAACTATGTCATTATATTCATCATTCTGTCATCAGACCTTATACAGGACTGGCTTATGATAAATATTAATACATTTTCAAAGAAAAACTAAAAGGATAAAATGAATTTTGGGAGACAAACCAATTGTTATTTTTCATTTAAACCTAAAACAGAGGTTGGCTACGATGGATTGAGAAGCAAATCCAGCCTGCCTTCATCTGATTTTGTAAATAGAGTTTTATTGGAACTTAGCCACACTCACTGGTTTACATACTGTCTGTGGCTCTTGCTCACTACGGAGACAGAAAAAAGTAGTTACCACAGGAACACTATGGCCCACAAAATATGTACTCTCTTGACACTTTACAGAATATTTGCCAACTCCTACTCTATAATCCTAATGAATTAAAACTAAAATGGGGGGTGGATGGAGGGAAGGGGTTCTAAGAATGGAAACAATACTATGCAAGCCAACCTATTTTTCTTCTGTTAGGTGTTTGAAATGATCATTAATCGTGGAGATAATATCCTCCTAAATGAACCTGTTTATTCAGGAACACTTCAAGCTGTGAGTATACATTTCTACAAAAGGCAGCTCTCTTTTTTATAATAAGTAAGAATAAACCCATTGCACCATTAGAATGACCTTTCCACTGAGAAATAACGTCTTTCACCTGCAAATAGGAGAATCATAAATGACATACGCAAACTATATTAACTATTTAAATATACCCTCCACTTTATACATTTCTTCTTACCAAATTTAAATGAATACATGCTTAAATTAGATTGTACAAAATTATGTCCAGTTTTCATAATATTTCACTTGAAATGTGATTTAATTTACAATTATTTATTTTTTCATTACCATCTTGAATTGCCACATGCCTAAGTGTAATCATGTTATATGTCAGTTTACTATAACTGTAATTTAATATGGTATAATTAAGATTTTCCACTCCAGTGACAAATTAATGGGATTATAATAACCAGAAAGAGGAACTAACCATCTGGCTCTGCTGTGTAATGGTCAGAACACACTGCTTAAAATTAGGTTCATTTGGGCACAATACTTTAGGATAGATAATTATACAAACTAGAGCAGTCTGAGTGAATAGGGAACTGGAAACTGTACTGTATGATGATTGGTTTTAGGAACTGTGACTTTATTTCCCCAAAACAGAAGACTCAACAAACATGAGAATTAGCCTCAAATATATAAAAGTTAGCCATGTGACAGAAGAATTATATTGCTTGTGTATGTCCTTTAGTTGGGAGGACTGAATCAAAGGGTGGAAACTACAGGGAAACAATTTCAACTCAGTGTAGCAACTTTCTAACCATCAGCCTTACCTGACTCCCTGAGCCTTACCTAAGTTCCCATCACAGCAGGTGCTCACTTACTCTTGATTGCCACCGAACACAAATGTTGCAAAAGTAATTCTAGACTAAAATAGGGGAGTTGAATGAGAGGACCTTTATGCTCTATTGATTCATATTTCATTGATTTTCTCTTTTATTTAAATTTAATATTATCTTTACAAACATAAATATATAAAGCAATTAGTCTTAATGAAAGGCATATTTTTTCAACATTCCTAAGTAGAAATCAAACTGATATTGTAGCCCTAGCTGATTTGGCTTGGTGTGTAGAGCATCAGCCTGTGAACTGAAGGGTCATGGGTTAGATTCTAGTCAAGAGCACATATCTCAGTTGTAGGCTCAATCCCCAGCCAGGGTGCATGTGGGAGGCAAATCAATTTATGAGTCGCTCTCACATCAATATTTCTCTCTGTCTCTTCCCTTCCTTTTCCCTCCCTCTAAAAAAATCTTTGGAAAAATATTCTCAGGTTAGGATTAACAAATAATAATAATAATTGATTTTATAAAAATTTATTTTCCCAGAGAACAATCTGAAAAGAAAATTTAAAAACATTTTAAATTTATAATAACATCCAAAAGAATAAAGCACATCACCTATTTATGGATTGGAAGACAATATTATTAAGAAGCCAATACTGCCAAAGTGATCTACAGATTCAATGCAATCTCTATAAAAACGCTAATAGCATTTTTGTAGATATAGAAAAGCCAATCCTCAAATTCACATAGGATTGAAAGAGGCCATAAGAATCCTGAAAAAGAAGAACATAGTTGGAGGCTTCACACATCCCCATTTCAAAACTGACTGCAAAGCTCCAGTAATCAAAACAATACAGTACTGGCTGGATAGATATATATTTCAATGGAATAGAATTGAGAACCCAGAAATAAATCCATACATCTGTGGCCAATTGATTTTGACAAAGGTAATTAAATAGGAAAAAAAGTCTCCAACAAGTTATAATGGAACAACTGGATTTCCACATGCAAAAGAAAGAAATTGGACCCTTACCTCACACCATATAAAATTTTAACTCAAAATGGATAAAAGACTTAAATGTAAGAGATAAAAACTATGAACTCCTAGAAGGAAACATAACGGCAAATCTTAACCTTGAATTTGACACTAAATTCGTAGATATGACAATAAAAACACAAGCAACAATAAAAATAGATAACTGGGCTTCATAAAAAAAATTAAGACTCTGAAGCATCAAAGGACATTCATGAATAAAGTAGAAAGACAGCCTAAAGAAAGGGAGAAAATATTTGCAAATTACATATCTGATAAAGACTTAATATGTAGAATATATAAAGACTTCCTATAACTCAACAACAAAAGACAAATTTTAATATAGACAAAGGACTTGAATAGGCAGTTCTCCAAAGAAGATATACAAATAGCCAGGAAGCACATGAAAAAATACTCAACGTCATTAGTCATTAGAGAGATGAAAATCAAAACCACAAGTAGATACTATCATATTTCATACCAGGATGACTTTTCTTTTTGAATGGAACATAGTAACTATTAGTAAATATGTGGAGGAATTGAAATCCTGGTACATTGTTAGTGAAAATGTAAAATGGTGCAGCCACTATGTAAAACAATTTTTCATTTCCTCAAAATTTTAAACATAGAACCATCATGTGATTTACCAATTCCACTTCTAGTATATATCCAAAAAAAATTGAAAACTGGGACTCAAACAGAAACACAAACATTTGCTACAACATTATGCACAGTAGCCAAAAGATGAGAGCAACCCAAGTGTGCATCAATGTGTGTATAAATAAACAAAACATAGTATGTATATACAATGGAATATTATTCAGCTAAAAAGGAACAAAGTTCTGGCACATGCTGCAACATGGATAAACCTTGAAAACATTATGCCAACTGAAAAAAGCCAGACACAGAGAACAAATATTGTGTAAAATATCTAGAATAGATAAATTCATAGAGACAGAAGTAGATTAGAAGTAACCTGGGCCTGGGGAATAGAAGAATAGGGAGTAACTGCTGAATGGGAACAGAGTTTCTATTCAAGGTGATGAAAAAAGTTTTAGAAATTGGTAGTGATGGTGGGTGCACACATTGTGAATGTAATTAATGCCACTGAATTATACAATTTAAAACAGTCAAATTTTTGTTATATAAATTTTACCACATTTAAAAAAACAAAGTAAAATAATTGTTTTTTCTTAATGATTTGACAATAATTATTAACTATTTCCCTAAACTCCTAACACTTAAGATTACATAATGCCTTCAAATATAAAACTCACGTCTACATAAACAGCATGGGCACACACATGTAAAATATTTTCATATACCCAGACAGAAACCATGTGCCAAGCTATGAGGATATACGCTAATAAGCAATATGTGTTTATTTCATGGACCAATAGTGATCTGTGTTATTCATGGTATGTGTGCATTTGAAAGCTAAGACCTAATTATACGTATCATGATAATTCAGCCAGAAGAGGCTAGGTTGTGCTATGGAACAAATGATCCCAATGTCTCAGTGACTTACAGCTACAAAGACTTCTCTCCCCGACTGCACGTCCACTGCAAGGCAACTGTAGCTGTGGTCCATGTCATCTCTTTCTCATAGAATTTAACATGAGGTTGCCAGAAGTAATCTCCCAGGTTGCCAGAAGTAATCTCCTTCTGGAACATTGTGAGTCTTACAGCAGAGGGAAAAGAGAAATAGAGAACCACGAGCTGGATGTTGAAGCTTCTGCTTGGAAGGAACACACACCACCTCTGCCCACAATTTATTGGCCAGAGCAAGACACATGGCCAAGCCTGACATACAGGAGCAAGGAAGTAGGATCCTTACTCTGGAAATGGACAGGGGATATTCTTGAACAGTAATGGAATCTGGCCCAGGGCAACAATGGAATTAGCACATACAGCCTGAACGCTCTGGTAGTAGAGCCGACTGCAGGTTATATATTCAAGGGCATAAAGGGTAACATTCTTAGTTATGAGAAGAATCAATGACACATTTTGTAATCAGATCTGAAACTTGGGCTTTTTTTCTTTTTTTCTATGTGTTCAACAGCTGCGACCAATGGGCTGCAACATGATTAATGTTGCCAGTGATGAATATGGGATTATTCCAGACTCCCTCAAAGAAATACTTTCCAAATGGAAACCAGAAGATTCAAAGAACCCCGAGAAAAACACCCCCAAATTTCTTTATACTGTCCCAAATGGCGACAACCCTACTGGAAACTCATTAACAAGTAACCGCAAAAAAGAAATCTATGAGGTATTTTTAAAAAATGTGTATGTGGCTATGTACCTATTTCTTTTTTACCCTTTAGAAGAGTACTATGCACGTTTCCTTTCTTATTAGTGTCTTGCTTTCAAGGGAGATCATTTTTAATAAGAGGAAGTCATCTATGCCAACAATCCTAATAAATTTCAACTCAAGAATTTACTACATCCTCTGTTAACTCTAAGATTTTTCTTTCCCTTTGATATTTTCATAAAAAGAAATAGCATTCTTGGTCTGATGTTAAATTCTATGAGGTTATTTAATATTTCACCCCACTATTTGATTTTCATTATTTTATATTTGTATTTCCAACTTGTCTCTTTTCTTTATTGCTCATTGCCATTTCAGTTTACAAAGAAATTCCTTGAAAATAAGAGACATGTGCCTTTTATAAAGTCTATTTTAGGGACCTGACAACAATGCCTAAGCTTTTCACCATAAACATTTTTTTATAAAGTACCAAGCAATATGCAGCCATGCAGGAATCTTTGAAAAATAAGAGAAACATGCCTTTCTGTAAAGTCTTTTTTATGTACCTGACTATGATCCCTAGCCTTTCACTTCAAATCATTTTTCAAAGTAAGTACCAAGCCTATGTTAAAGTAATATAGAATTTAATCATTATAGTGGGATCATGAGAAAAATTTCAAACAATTCCTTTTACTGTATTTTTATTTTTCATGCACTCCTGGCTCCAACACTCATCCAGTTCTGTGTCTGTAAATTGCGTTCTATGATGGAGATGCCTGAACTCCAGACTTCTCTATCCAGCTTCTGTATCCAGCATCCCATGTAAATGTCAAATGGGCATTTCTAACCTAACATAGCCACAGGGAGCTCTTGATTTTGGCCAGCCACACCCCAAACCTCTCATTCACAACCCCTCCCATTCTTCATCTCCTTACACTGTGCCAGCATGACCCATTGTCTTTTATTCCTCTTTTTCCCCTTCTCCTCCCCACATCCACTATATCCAATCCATTCTGTGGACTCTACTGAGGACATTATTTATCCAAACCTATCCATTTCCCTCCACTACCACTGCTCTCCCCATCTTCTCACACACCAACTTCTTCCCTTGCTGGTCTACTGGGACATTCCCTCACCCCCACTGCCCTCCACTCTTGACCTCTAACCATTCTTCACTCAGCAGCCACTTATGTCCTTCCCCTGCTGAAAGGTAAATGAAAAGCTAGTCTCATGGTCCTCCTATTTACAGGCCTCCAGTGGCTTCCCCTTGCATTTAAAATAAAATCCAAAAGCTAGGTGAGCTGATCAGCTATTCTCAGGCTCTTACCATCATTGTTGCAGCCCACTGGCCTTCTCTCTAATATGCCAAATTTTGTCTCACCCAAGGGTCTCTGCTCTTGCTCATCCCTCATTCTATAAGCTTATTCCCTGATAATTGCACAACTGGCTCCCTCCTGTCATTCTGAGATCTTGTGTTATCTTGTCAGGAAGGGCTTTCCCATGATTCAACCTGAAATAGCTTCTCTCTCTCTCCTCTCTCTCCTCTCTCTCCTCCCTCTCCCTCTCCCTCTCTTTCTCTCCTCTCTCTCTCTCTCTCTCTCTCTCTCTCTCTCTCTCTCTCTCTCTCTCTCTATCTCTCTCTCTCTCTCTCTCCCCCCCTCTCTCCCTCTCTCCCTCCTCTCTGTCTCTCTGTCTCTATCTCTGTCTCTCTCTCTCTCTCTCTCTCTCTCTCTCATCTTTCTCTCTCTCCATCCTGTTTAATGTTCCACCTAGCCTTTAAGTCCCCCATCCAATATTTCTTCTGTTATGATCCATTGGCCCCTTGAGTGTGGCTCTTCCACAAAATATCACAGCCTGGGCAAGTCTATTTTGAAGAAATGGTGTTAGAAGAAGTTTAAGTTTTAAAAAATTTGGCTCTCAAAAGAAATTTCAGTCATTGTACGGTTGATATTTGGCTTTGTTGACTAATGAGTTTGCCGACCACTGGTCTTGGCAATAGGCACTCAATAGCTTGTTGAATGAATGAGTACAAAGAATTGTGATTCCAAAATACTTTTAATTTTAGATAGCTCTTAAGAAATAATTATATTATTTTAACCTTTTTTTAGCTTGCAAGAAAATACGATTTTCTCATAATAGAAGATGATCCTTACTATTTTCTCCAGTTCAACAAGGTAAGTAACAATGTGAAGTTGTTTCACAATTAAAAGATAAATTGTTGTAAGTTATTGCCCTGCCTTTGAATTTAACCTGGCTGCTAGTCCACGCTGACATTGGAATTTTAAAAATTATTGTTAATTTACTACCACTTCAACTTTTATAGTCTTTTAGTTTTACTATGGAATTAGTATTTTTTATTTCTTGTATTACAGCTCTTTCCAGAAATTACTTATCTTAAAAATAGTATCTGGCTCTCTCTACCATACATTTGGAGAGAGAAAGTTAGGGCTAATGGTCTTGAACTCCAGATCCTAGTGCATAGCTCCTTAATCATCGTACCAGGGATCTAAAGTGGGTTTCCTCTTGGGTGTCAACTACAGTCATTCTCTCTCCCCCTCCCTCTCTCCTTCTCTCCCTCCCTCCCTCTCTCTCTCTTTCTCTCTCCCTCTCTCTCTCTCTCTCTCTCTCTCTCTCTCTCTCTCTCTCTCACGTTTCTCCTCATCCAAGGATATTTTCTTCATTGATTCTTTCAAGGAGTGGCAGGGAGGAAAGAGAAGAAAGAGAGGAACATCAACATGAGAGAGATGCATTGAGTAATTGCTTTCCACATGTGCACCCCCAAAGGCTAGGGATGGAGCCTGCAACCCAAGTATGTGCCCTTGACTAGGAATCAAACCCATGACCCTTCAGTTAGGACCAATGCTCTAACCACTGAAGACACCAGCTAGGCCTCAACTAGTAGTCTCTTTTTATTTTCTTTATTGATTAAGGTATTACATATGTGTCCTTATCCCCGCCAAACCCCGCCCCCCCTCACTCATGCCTTCACCCCCTGGTATCTGCGTCCAATGGTTAGGCTTATATGCATGCATACAAGTCCTTTGATTGATTTCTGCCCCTTACCCCCACCCTCCCCTACCTTCTCTCTGAGGTTTGACAGTCTGATCGATGCTTCTCTGTTTCTGGATCTGTTTTTGTTCATCAGTTTATGTTGTTCATTATATTCCATAAATGAATGAAATCATGTGCTACTTATTTTCCTCTGACTGGCTTATTTCACCCAGCATAATGCTCTCCAGGTCCATCCATGTTGTTGCAAATGGCAGGAGGTCCTTCCTTTTTATAGCAGCATAGTATTACATTGTATAAATGGAATACTATAATCCATCTACACATCCATAATCATTCTTTCCTCATGGACATAGTAGTGACACGTGATTCCAATGCCTGATTTTTCAAAATCAAACACTATCTTTAGTTGCTCTCAGGGCTGCAGAGACTTGGTTCCTTCTTTAAATCTACTGAAAAGAAAAATTCTTGATTTTCTTCTATGTATTACATGAATGAATATCATGTCTGCCAACCTCCATCCCACTCTCAACATGATCATGCCCCCTTTTCTTAAGCATCTACTTCATTATTTCATATTGACTACATTTCTCAGCGTTGGTCTCATCTTTTTATCTTTCTAATTCTAAGAGGCAGCATTCTTTTTGTAAACAATCCTGAATGCTGCTGGTCCCCTCTGTTTATATCTTATCCAAACTAGTTTTTCTTTTTTCTTTTTTAATTCAGATGCATTTTATTCCAACAATCAGGCCAGCCAGGCATCATGGGGATCTTATGGGATTTCAGAACCTTGGTCCTCAGCAAGGCCCATTTTCTTCCTCTAAATCTTTTCATCTTGGACTTCAACCATTGGGGCAAATTCATAATAATGGATCTTGAGCAAATGAGTAAAACCTTGTGTGTGCATTTTTGGCAGAAAAGTCATGAAGACAGGCAGATACTAATAAAAGAGCACGCATCTCTGTTTTTATTCCATTTTAAAGGGTTTGGATAAAGGTAATGGAAAAGTTGGTTGTGCAACTGTTATTTGAATCCATGTCCTTTCCAGTCTCTACATGAAGGAATTACATAGTCACTAACAGAGTTCTCAGACCAACAATGTTTATCTTTTCCCTGTCAAGCCCTGGGCACCAACGTTTCTTTCCATGGACGTTGATGGGCGCGTCATCAGAGCGGACTCTTTCTCCAAAGTTCTGTCCTCTGGGTAAGGCTGTCCTTTGTGTCTCTAACTTCAGGCTGGATCTAACCGAGATAGAAACTGTGCCTTAGTAGCTTTCTGGACAAGCAATTCTCATTTAATATGCTTGTATTTTACTTGCCTTAAAACACCAGTTAAATTATTAATATGAATATAGGACTTATCTTTCTCTCTGTCCATCTCCAGTCGTCAAAGGAGCCTGGGCATTCATAGGAAGTTGTAGAGGAACTGGTCAGGTATGGGGTTTTATATATGAAAGAGCACATTTAGAAATGCTTAGTCAGACTTGCGTTATGTTTTAAATGTACACTTGAATTTTAAATAAAAAGTAATTAATTTTATTAGGATGTTTTCGTTGTCTAGGTTCATTTGCCCCCAGGCCATAGCTCTCTTCCTAATGAAATCAGGAAAATGACATGGATTCATTGTTAATACAGTGGTTTTATACCTTTTCTTTCTTTTTCTTTTTTTGTCAGGTTGAGAATAGGGTTTATAACTGGACCAAAACCCTTGATAGAGAGAATTGTTTTACACACACAAGTTTCAACATTGCACACCAGTACTTTTACACAGGTAAGAACAATTTAGGAAATAGAAGAAAAAAATAATTAGATAAGAATAGAAAATAGATCTTGACAAGTAAGATTGAGTTAAGGTGCCAGAAAGGGAAATCCCATATTGAATCTCTAGTTCCAGTATGTACTGAGTCAGCAAACCTGGCACTGTAGGCATTTACTCTTATAGACCAACTAGAGGCCTGATGTACAAAATTTGTGCAAGAATAGGCTTCCTTCCCCTGGCACCAGCTTCCCTCTGGCATCTGGGACCTGGGTTTACCTCCGACCGCTGGCAGGCACCGGGACCCAGGCTTCCTCTCAGCCCCAGCTTTGTCCAGGACAGAAGGATGTCTGGAAGGACATCCCGTCTAATTAGCATATTACGCTTTTATTATTATAGATGAGAATCAAATTAATCTGGTGTTAGTATGTGGCAAAGACTAAACTCCATGCGAGTTGGGCTTATTCCTCTGCTGTCCCTCACATCCAGCCCAGGAACTCCATAAAATCTGTTGAACTTCACATAATGGAACTGGGCTTGATGCAGTAATATAATTTGGGTTTCTTTGTATTAAAATTTATAATGAGAACAAGAATTGCAAACTTGTCTAATGACTCATTGCCTTCACTGCTCATGTGCTAACCTGTCCTAAAGACACTGGTTGGTATGTACTTTAATTTTTAAAAAGTTAATTTTAGAGAATGTATAAATTTCCGCACAAGCTTTGAGAAATTATTGGCTCCATTCCTAAGGCAACCATAGAAGTAGATGTTAAGGATAGAATTGCTGCCTAATTGCATAGAAGAATTTATGTAGAATAGGATGTTTGTTTGTTATTTTACATTCCATAAAGCACTTTATCATGTTTGGGGAGTTTTCTCTCTCTTTTCTTTTTTTCTTTTTCTTTTTCTTTTTCTTTCTTTTTTTTTTTTTTTTTTGTGGTTGTTGTTGGTTTGTTTTGTTACTAACAAAACTTCATTATCCATTCATGGCATTTAGAATCTCCATTTTAGATAGAATATCTCCAAATATATTATGTAATTTTATATATTACAACTACTATGTGTTTTTTATATTTAGAGAGGGAGTGCAGTGTGGTAATTAATGCATGGATCTGAAGCTGGGAACTCTGACTCCAATCCAGGCTCTGTGATGAGCTGTGTGACCTCAGGAAAGTTAACAACCCTTGTGCCTCATTTTCCCATCAGCAAAGTAAAAATAATAACCTGCCTAATGAAGTTAATATAAGATTAAGTTCGCTAAAATATTCTAATGCATTACAATAGTTTCTGGCACAGCAAGCTCTATATAAATATTTGTCATTTTATTATCATTATCTATGTTATTAACATTTATTCTAAATCACTGACTGACTAAAGCTTGGGCCAGCTTATTCTATTTTCTTATGGTGGTTTACCTACCTATACTCAAGAGTGTCTGGCAGAAAACACATTGCAGAGGATGAAGCATGATATCTGTTACTGTCTTACCTCTTTCAGCTCATGGTATCACAGCTTCTTCACCAGTGGGGAGAGGAGGGCTTCCTGGCTCACATAGAGAGGTATGGTATTCAGGTCCCATTTTTCACCTAGAAATGGACTCTGCCTTATAATTTTTAATTATTCCACAATGAAGGAAAAACATAGTGGTAAAAAGTTTCCAACCAGTTAAGTCAAGTAAATATGCTCAATTTCTTTATATGGCATTCATTTTCATCAAGGTAGAAAATGGATTCTTCAAGCACCTCTTAGTTTCTGAAAAGATGAAACACATCATTTTCACTGTTTTCTTCATCTAGGGTTATTGATTACTATAGGAAGCAAAAGGATGCATTACTGAAAGCTGCAGACAAGTGGTTAAGTGGTGAGTAGAATATATACCCCCGTTCTTCGATAAACAGCAGTACCTATAGAAGTGGGTAATAAACACTGCATGGTATTGTTAATAATCCCGGGGAAAGAAACAAGAGTCCAGGAGTACTCTTGCCAAGAAAATATTACCCAACAAATAATCTCAGAAGGAACGTTCTGCAAACCCTGACCCATTTCTACCTATCTGCTGCAAAGAATTTGTCCTTTAAATAAAACATTAGTCTAATAATCAACCAGCAATAAGTTAGTTCAAGCTAAATGACATCTATACTCAAAAATTTTTAGAGTTATTTCAAAATTTTCCTCTAAGTAGAAGAGGAATTGTGAAACAAACAACATAGTCTTTTTCTAACTAGATTATCTAAAGATAAAATACTAATACAGTCTACAGAGGATTTCTCATTACAAATGATTTGCTTTTTAATTTCTCATTACTAACCTCATTTATCTGTCTAATACTCTCTATTGCTAATTTGATTGCAGGGAGGGTTTAATTTTCTATTAAAAATAAGTAAGTAAAGTGAATTACATGGCTTTAATTATATCGTGAAAAATATAAATAATAGTAAGCAAAATATATCAATTCCTCAATATTGTTATACCTTGTTTTCCATGAAGTATTGATGAAAATATAATTATTTTTTTATAAAGAGCACTATTCTACCATTTTGTACAGTAGAGCTGAAGAAAGGGTTTTAATTAACAGGAACAAAAATATGTTCATTAAAGTCCAAGATAGTTATCCTTCCTTCTTGTTTTCTCTATCCTAATACTCAAAGCATAAAGCCTACAAATGCAACTGGAATTCCTAACTTTAAGTACTTCTTTTCATAATTAATTACGTTCCGATAAAAACTTTAATCCATGGAACTTCTAAATTATTACATAAATAATAGCATTTATTGAAACACTGGAAAAAACTAGAAAGAGTTGAAGAATCCTCTTCTAAAATTGAAAGAGTCATATTTGGCTCAGATATGGTTCTAACTAAAGGAAGTAGACGTGACACTAGACTTCTTGTGCCACCCTAAGTCTGACTAAAACTGTAAATAGGCACACACGAGTCTCCCTCCCTGCCTTCATCCCCTTTCTCACTCACTTTCTTTTTTTTTTTTTAAGAGAGAGCAAGAGACATCAATTTGTTGTTCCTCTTATTTAGGCACTCACTGGCTGAGTTTTGGTTGTGCCCTGACGGGGGCTCAAACCTACAACCCCAGAGCATCTGGACAACGCTCTAACCAACTGAGCTACCCGACCAGGGCCTACTCACTTTTTGAAATAAAACTCAAACCATCAATTTTCAGGACTCATAAAATTATATTTTTTTAAAATGCTATCACTGAAGGAACTTTTATGGAAATACTAGTTTATAGTCATTGCAATTATGTCATTAAATGATGTGAGATATCAAATATAGCTTCAGCAGATATTTACTACCTTCTTCTATTTATAGGTTTGGCAGAATGGCATGCTCCTACTGCTGGGATGTTTGTATGGTTTAAAATTAAGGGCATTTCTGATGTAAAAAAACTGGTTGAAGAAAAAGCCATTAAGAAAGAGGTAAAAGGCAGAAATAGTTATACTGTTTCTTTAATGTAATTTCTTACTTAAATAACAATGGAGAGAGATGTTTATCATTGCCTACCACCCTAACTCATAATGCTTTAATATCAGATATGTTATCACATTATTAAAATAATAATAGATTCTGGGGTTACAAAATTATTATTCTGGTCTAAATCAATGGAAATATAGTCATTGATCTCAGCTACTGGTTGGTTTATGGCTAAGAGCACAGTCCCTGGAACCATACTCCTTGGGTTTGAATCCCAGTTCTGCCCTTTACTTTACCCTCCCTGAGTTTTAGTAATAATGAGACTTTCTCCCTCATAAGGTTATGATAATTTAGTAAATATAGATAAAGCACTTAGTCTAGTAAATGTTCAATAGGTATTAGCCATTAATATTTAAAATAGAGAGCCCCCCCCCAATTATGAAAGTAAACCATATACATGGCAGCAAACTTAGAAAAATATTATGAAAAATATTTAAATAGCTCAATTTCACCACCCAAATTTTATGACCATTTATGGTGTATTTCCTTGAAGAGCCTATATAAAGCTGATATTTTGGCTACATGAGTACAATTATGTTACATGGTTAAAATTACACAGAAAAGTTTCTATCCTCTATTTTTACTTTAAATTAGCCCATGATGATTTCTTCTATGTTTTTTAATTCTCTCTTTGTACTTGAATCATAAGTATATTTAGATTTCATTCGGGAGCATTGAGTAATCTCAGAAATCCAAGTATTTTTCTGTGTAACTTTCCAGTTTACCAAATAAATTATCCTTTCTCCATTAATTAATTCTCCTACCACGTTTATCAGTCTTTTGTAAACAGTAAAACCTATTTCTAGTATCAATTTTTGTCGTGAAGCAATAGGATAAATGATACAAAGAACAGATTGTGTTGATGGTGGCAAAGTGCCCTGCTAGTGCATAAGAGATGAAGCAGTCTAAAGGTTAGACTGGCAACTGGCTGGATTTCTGAGCTAGTCCCATTCCCTTGGGAAGCTCACTCATGCTCTCCAACTGTCTTACTGGAAGGAAAGACTCATGTTTTATACATTGTTCTAATTCTAGTAACAGCACACAGTAGGTACTTAATAAATATTTAACTGGTTTATTTAAAAAAATACATTTTAGTATAATAAATCAATTTTATATTCTCTTTGGTTTTCTATCAATACCATTATCTTTCAGAACATTTGATAAGTGGCTATTTGTATGTATCTCTGAGCTACATGCTAAGGATATAGACTTTATATTTTATTGCGCTTTTTGGGGGGGGCGCTTTATTTATTCCATATCCTATTGCCTGTACCTTTACTTTTCTAAATAATCTCCAACTTTATCACCACTGCTTTAGCTAAGATTTTGGTCATCTTGCAGAGAGACTTTTACCACTCCCTCCTTCTCTTACAGCAATTTGCTTCTATCACGTCCAAAAAGTTTTCGGCTAAATTGGGAAAAATTATTTTCTTTTCATTGTTAGTAAGGACACAAAAACCTATCTTCAGCCTTGAAATATCTTCCCCAGAGTGCCCCTAATCATTCCATTCTCTACTCCTCTTACCTTAGCAGACAGTGCCCAGATTTGTACCATGTAACAACAAGCAGTTACTAATACTTTTGAATATCATATTTTACTACATAACAATCTTAAAGATTAACATAATTGATGTTTACTTCTGACTCACATAAGATCTTCAAATAACTGATCTTTAGGCATCTGTACTCCAAGCAGTGATTCACAGACCCTGGTTCTTTCCATCCCCTTCCTCTGCGGTCTTCAACACATAGAGTCCACATGGCTACAAAATGGAAAGAGCATGGTGGATCACACAGGGGAAGAATTTTATGGATCAGCCCTAGAAGTAGCACACATAACTTCACACCCATTGACTAGGATTCAGTTATGTGTCCACATATAATTAGAAAGAGCCTGGGGAATACCAGTGGAAGACACTTGTTGCCCAGGAGGCAGAGGAAATGTACTTTGCCACAGGGAGCTGTCTGCACAGTGGTCATCAAGAATCACAGTGGTTCTCGCCACTGCATTTTGACACACTTACTCAACATTGTTATTCCTTTGCTTTATATATTAAAATTTTTCTTTACCTTCTTTCAGTTCTTTTCTTCCCATCTCGGGGCCTTTACACTCGGTATCATCTCCCTAGAATATTCTTCCCCTACTTTTTGTTTGGCCAACACCTACCTATCTTTCAGATTCCAGCTTAAAAGTCACTTCCAAATTTGATAACTTAAAAATGGTATCTCGTCGTTGAAACTTAGTTTTCTAGTTAGGTTAAACATTTATTCATGGTTGTTACTATTTCTATTTCTTTTGTAAATTGCCCTTTGCCCATAAAAATTAGAATTCTAGTATTTTTCTTCTATCTGTGCATTCTATTTTTTTTTAATCTTCACCCAAGGATATTTTTTTCTATTGATTTTTCAGGCAAAGTGGAGGGGAGGGAGGAAGAGAGAGAGAGAGAGAGAGAGAGAGAGAGAGAGAGAGAGAGAGAGAGAGAGAGAGAGAGAAACATTGACATGAGAGAGACACATTAATTGGTTGCCTCTTTCATGCACCCTGACCAGGACCAGGGATCCAGCCTGCAACTGAGGTACAATGTGCCCTTGACTGGGAATCAAACCCATGACCCTTTAGTCCACAGGCCAATGCTCTAAATACTGAGCCAAACTAGCCAGGGCTCTGTGCATTCTTTATATGTGGAGAAGATGTTGCATTTGCCATATTTATTGTAGACATTTTTCCAGTTTCTCTGTATTTATTTTTGTTTATTTTACGATATACAGGATTTTTACATAAATTTTCCTTGTGATTTGTTTAATTGCCTTTAATTTTTAAAAGTCCTTCCCCATTCTGAAATTTGATTTGCCTATATTTTCTTTCAGTTTTTCTTTAATGATATGTTGCTTATTTTCCATAAACTTTCTTAGATATTAATGGTTCCTGGAAATGCTTTCTACATTGACAGCTCGGCTCCTAGCCCTTACTTTAGAGCATCCTTCTCTTTGGCTTCTCCAGAACAAATGGATATAGTAAGTATTGTATTCTCTTCAGCGTAACACTAGATATCAATTCTATTTTGTTGTTGTTAATCCTTACTTGAGAATTTTTTTTTCCATTGATTTTTTTTTTAAGAGAGAGAAGAAAGGGAGGGGGAAAGGGTGGAGGAGAGAAAAAGGGAAACTTTGATACGAGAGAGACACATCTATTTGTTGTCTTCCCACATGTGCCCCAGTGGGGCCAGGGATCAAACCTGCAACCCAGGTACATACCTTAACCAGGAATTGATACGTGATGCTTCAGTGCATGGGCCAACACTCTAACCATTGGCTGACACTGGCCAGGGCTCAATTCTATTTTTTGGTGCATGTGTTCATTTTGTGAGTTACAATATGCTTAATGTCTTGGGTTTCTGGGAAAAAAAAAAAAAGTATTAGTTGAAAGGCATGAACTACCATAAAAAGACACATTTATTTTGTTGTTAGACTTCTATAGACAAATGAAGAGACTGAGTTGGAGTTTAATTTTTTTGTTTTCAAGAATAGTTTTCAGACCTACTAAACAGTGTTCATTGATCACCAGTATATTATGAAAAAAATCTCTTTCCTTCCTTCATAGAATTAACATGAGCCCAAAGTACAAATTAAGGCCAGTCTCTCTCATTGAGGAGAAAAAATATCAGCAAGTCAAAGAGAATAATACTCTCAGATTAATCACAAAGTCCAGCTTTAACCAAAATAATAAGAAGCAAAGAAACAAGTTCCTCAGAACTATATGTCTGGGAAGCCAAGCAGAAGACCCATAAATTGAATGGTGCCATTAACCTCAAAATGAGTTGGTACCTGTCTTTGCAGATGGATTGGTTCTTGGTGTGTTCTTTATTTATTTGCTTTCTCATGTCATTAAATATGCTTTTCATATGTCTTATATTTTTTGTTTTGTTTCATTTTCACCCAAGGATATGTTTTCATTGATTTTTAAAGAGAGAAGAAGGGAAAAAGAGAGAGAGAAAAAGAAACATTGATGTGAGAAAAACATCAATTGGCAGCCTCTGTAGGTGCCCCAACCAGGGATCGAATGTACAATCTAGGCATGTGCCCTGACCGAATCGAACCCGCATATACAGGGTGATGCTCCAACTAATTGAGCCACTCAGCAAGGGCTTATACTTTTTTATATAATCTGGACAATTTCAACTATATATAATGTACCAGTATATGCAGGTGAGAGATTACATGAAAAAAGAATATGAGTATGTGGTGCAGAGAAAATCGAAAGTGGTGACCTTGAGGGCCACAAGAACAACAAAATAAAAATCCTAGGAATCTGATATGCTTATATGTACATATATTATGACACTGATGGCATCCGACCATGATAAAACTAATGTTAAACTTGATTTTCATTGCCTTATCTCACCGTCTAGATGGATATTCTTTGTTTGAATTTTTAATGTTCTGACAAATTTTTCCTAAATAGCACCCTTCTTTCATTAATTCTTATCTGTTTTCTATTTTAGGCCTTCCAGAGATTAGCCGAACTTATAAAAGAATCTTTGTGAGGACATCAAACTCTTCATAGTACTCATGGATTTTTTAAATAAATTACTTCGATATTATAGCAGCAAGAAATGATTATTGATTAAGACTTACAGATTGATTTTCATCAGACATGTCATATCTGTAGTTATTAATTAGACAGCTTTTAAAGTGGCCTTAAATCCACCATATTGCCAAAATATATTTATAATCTATGTATACCTTTTGATAAATTTTCAACTTGAAAAAAATTATTTTTATCGTGAATTTTATTGTAAAGAACTTGTAACTGCTTTGTAATTTCCCTTAAATTTTCTTTGAAACTAACATTTGCAATAAACTATTTTGAAAATGTAAAAATACAAATCCAAAATGGTATGTAAACTTTTTCTATCTTTTAGGAAAATGTAATAAAATCTTGTTGAAAAAATTGTTAGAATTTGACCATCATAAATGATTTCAGTAAGAATATCACAGATATTATGTTATGCCACAAAAATCTCTTTTAAAATAAAATTCTGAAACTAAACATACCTAAAGACATCAGATTTTTAATTCCAAATAAGGAGGAGAAATCAGGACTTAGAAAAATTTACTACATTGCTTTTTCATAATACTGCACAGTTTATAAAAACATACTCTTATTAGTTATGTAATTTGAATATATTACAACCCTCTGAGGCATTTACAATATATTAATTTGATTATTTTCTTTCTCACCTTTTAAAAGGTTTATTTTTCCCATCATATTACTAAATTAATATATGCTTATTTAAAAATTTCAAAACAAGCCAGGAAATATAAGGAATAAAGTAAAAGCAGCCACTTGTTTTCTCACCCACACACCCCCAAAGATAATTGCTGTCAGCATTTATCATTGGTCCTTTTGAATATTTTTATACATATTCATGTAACATACAAAAGAATAGGATTTGTTATGGTAGTGTATCATAAATACCCTGGTTTTAACGCTGTGTAACAAATTATTTCATGTTCCAAGATCCAGTAATTGTAAAGTTATATTCCTTAATAAGGAGTTAGGAAATTTATGCCATCCTTTGTGTGTATAAACTTCAGTATTATAGTTTTGTGTGTTTTTTCCTGGCATCCAGTTGAGATGTTACATCTTCCTATAGTTAAAGCTCTTGAGCAAAAATCTTACCTGGGAGCTCAAATCAGCTGGCTCAAATCCCTTTTCCTAAGACAACCAATAGTAGTTATTTAGGAGATACTGTGAAGACACAGAGCCTGGAGGAGGATTGAGATGGAGAACCTAAGAAGAAAGTGTAACTTAGAGAGTTAATAAAAGTAAAAGTAGCCTTCCACTTACTTTATTCAGTAGTTTCCAACAATAACCAAAATTGCTTAGCCTGTATTATATAAATGAATGCCTTCTTAGTCACCAATATGGAGTAATTGATTTATAAGTTGATTTGTAATCCCCAGTATTAACCACAATCTATAGGCATCCATTTCTTCTAAGAAAAACAGAGTGAGAGAAAGGCAGAGAACACAGGTGACAACTGGTCTGTCCCTTAATATTTTTGTTTGTCCGTTAAATTACCTTCCCCTGATACTAAGCACTAGAAAACTGGAGCCTCACTTGTCATTGCCATACAAATGTTTCCAAACTTAAAAAAAAAAAAAAAAGTAATTGGGCAGTATCAAGGAACATTAAAATGTTTATGTTCTCTAACACAATGTATGATATACTGTGGCTTGACTAGGCATAAATTCTAATTTTCTTGTTGAGTCTTTGAGACTGTAAAAGTGAAATACTACGTTTGCAGACCCCCTTTGAAGTACCAGGTATGATTAAAATTCCTCCATTCAGGTGCCTGGATTCAAAACTGAGTTAAAAGCGGGTCCAGGCGGAGTGTAAGCAGCTTCTTGGTAGTTTCTGCTTCTGCAAGAATAAAATTCTGGGGCTAGAAATGGTTCCTGGAATCCCCATCTACTTTTTCAGCCATTTCAACAATTTTGGAAACCACAGAATACATTATAATAAGCACTGTTTGCCTAAACCGGCTAGACCAGTTCTCCCTATTGACAACTGAAGGCCAAGTGGGCCACTGTGTTAAGAGTCTCCAAGACTATCCTCAAGCTTGATGGCTCCCTAAAAGGACCCAGGGGATGCAGAAGTTGTTGTTTTCACAGGCACAGTTTATTACAGCAAAAGGATATGGTAAGATCTCAAAAGGGAAAGGTGCATGCAGCAAAGTCTGCAGGAAACCAGGCACAAGCTTCTAAGAGACACCTTCCTGGAGTCACACAGGATGTGCCTGCATCCTTCAGCAATGATGTGTGACAACATGTGCAAAGTCTTGTCAACAAGGGAAGCTCACTTGAGCCTGGTTGTCCAGAACATTGGGGGTCAGTGGCATGTGCATAATGCCTATATGACTAACCTCAGTCACTGAAGCTCCAAGCCCACAGAGGACACGCAGGTGTTCAACATAAACCACTTGGTGAGTATAAACCACCTGGAAAAGCTATTTTAGCATGGCTCATGACCCAACGCACGCAAAACACTCTTATCAGTCAGAATATTCCAAGAATTTAGTTCCCAGGAACCAGCCAAGGCCAGTCATGGAACAGCCTTTCTAGGGAATGTGTACTGTTTGGATAACCCAGAGCTACTGAGTAAACCCTCTCCCACCCACCAGAAATCCCATGTCTAGACATTTATAATAAAGAATGGCCCAAAAATATGGAAGAAACTAAAAATCACCAAGATAGTAACTATGTTAAAATTCTCTAACATGGCCCTTTACTTTTATAATTTAAAATTAATGTTTATAATATATCTTTATTGATTTTAGGGAGTTAAGGGAGAGGGAGAGAAAGAAACATCAATGGTGAGAGAGAATCATTGATCGGCTGCCTCCTGCACTATTGGGGATTGAGCCCACATCCTGGACATATACCCCTGACCAGGAATTGAACCGTGACCTTCTGGTTCATAGGTCAATGCTCAACCACTGAGCCACTGTGGCCAGGCTAAAAATAATTGTTAATGCCTTAAGCAAACCAGTCACACTTGTTTCATTTGGATAAACAGAGATTCTTAAAGGCAGTTATCTCTGTCAGGAGTAGAGGTAACTGCCACATAATGGAAAATCAAATTAGAAGCCATAACTATACAACAACCATCACCAATGTGAATCTGGTCAAAAATTGCATAGGTTTAATTTCCTTTGGTTAGTCTATGTGCTTCTTTATGGCAGCCATGGGTCACCATTCATGATCCCCATGAACGGAAGCAGCTGGAAGCAGATGGCTATCTCCAGTTGGCCTAAAACATAACAGTTATCACTTGGCATGTCTCTCTTTTAATTTAACTTTGAATATTTATTTGTGGACATTGGGAATTTCCTCCCCTCCAAGTAAGAAAGTCTTTAATGCTTCCCTAGGATACTTTTACAGCAGAGTATATCTTCAAGTTCCTTTTTAAATGCTAACTAAATCTTCAGTGACCAGCCATTATTAACTTTATCAAAAGTGAGTTTAATTAAAAATTTTAGAGAATCTAAAAATCTCCATGAAAATAAAATATTGGCTAAACATCTCATTTTAACTAGTGATATGTATTTATGAAGATTTTAAGTTTCCTGAGGTCAAGAACTTCCTTCTCTGGCTAAATTGCTTTTCTTTCCTATTCCTGCCTTCAAATTGTTTAATCTCCATTTTATATCATGTACTTTTTGCAGTCTTCTTCTTTTTTTTTAACTTGTAATTTACAATGGAAATTGAAAAATGTAAACACTTACCTGAAAGAGGGTCATAATTTCAGCAACACTTCGTATTTCAATGGTGCCTTTGCCCAGACACTGTAATAGTGCGTTCATTGGGGTCCTTGGAAAAGAAATCGAAATTAGAATCTAATAGAGCTCTTACTGATTTTACATGGAAGACAGAAACAAAGAAAAAAATAAAACTATTTTTGACTGCACTTCAGGGATATTGGAACCTGAAGTGGATATGCAGACCTCTGGCTGCCCTCCTGCCTGTGGCAGGGCAGCTGTCCACCAGCCTCAGCCACCAAAGGCTTGCCACATCCAAGGCTCCTTGAATCCCACCGGAACCATCTCAAGAAGAAGGCAACCAAGTAGCAGGGCACTCATAATTCCCTAGACACTAACCACCACCCTCCCTGCAATGTAATACAAAGCAGAAAGTTAAGAAAGAAGGGAGGGCAGACCTGTACACACTTGATCTGGCAACTTCAGTTCCAAGAATTTATCTTAAGGAAATAATTTAAGGACTTCCAACACGGCATATATTAATGAAAGAATGAAACCTTCTAGATGTTCAGCCGCAACAACCTTCCTTCTAGTGCCCCCACCTGGCCCTACTTCCTTCACCTGCTAATTCCTACTCACCCTCTAGGGCTCAGTTTAAATTCCACTTTCTGAAGGTACCCTGCTCTGGGCCTCAAGACAAGGTAAGGGCCTTCTGTGAGTTGTCAGATAGCACCTTATCTTTTTGGAGCATTAACCACAATAACAAGTAATTATTAGTTAATGTCTGCCTGTTTCTTTCTTCTCCCAAACCATAATCTTTGTGAGGACAGAAGTGTCTCCGTTTTCTTTACAGTTATACCCTCAAAGTCTGTCACAATGCTTGGCAGGTATTAGGCTCTCCAAAAATGTATGTTGCTATTGGATTGTTCACTCTAAATGGTTAGAGGGGGTGGGGAAGTAATACAAATATTAAAAATAAAAATAAGTAAATGGATAAATTTTATGGTATGTTAATAACACCTTAATGAAGCTACTAAAGAAGATGTTACCATCCTACATAATAAAACCCTAATATGCAAATTGACCGAACAGTGGAACGACTGATTGATCACTATGCTGTGTACTGATCACCAGGGGGCAGATGCTCAACACAGGAGCTGCCCCCTGGTGGTCAGTGTGCTCCCAGAGGGAGAGCACTGCTCAGCCAGAATCTGGGCTCACACTGGCTAGTGCACTGGCGATGATGGGAGCCTCTTCTGCCTCCATGGCAGCGATAAGGA